CAAAAAAAAATTATTAAAAATCAATGCAATTTTTTAGCCGCTCAAAACTTGCACTTATTTTACTAGAATTTTATAAGCTTGTTAACTGCATACCCAAAAAATTTCTAAAAATTCTGGTTAAAAATCTCGAAATTTAAATAAAAACTTGTGGAATTTTTCTGTATAAAGGTTGAAAGTGTGATTTATATAGTTTTTGTTGAAGCATGAACCTTATTTTTATAAAAAAATATCAAAAAAATTTTAATTGGAAAAATATTGTAAATATTAAAAACGAAACATCATTCAGCCATTTTTGACCGCCACTGTATGTCGTATATATTGATCATATTTTTCAAAAAAGGTGGCCACCAAACACAGTGGTAAACCGCAAAAAACTTGCACTTTTCTTTCATTATCACATTTCACTTGGTATTTTTTTCTCTTTCAATAATGTATGTAGGTATGTCTGTACATTTTTTTAGAAACAATTTTGTTATAGTCTGTTGCATCATAGCCAGCCAACAATAGTTCAAGATGTGTATAGTATACAATATAATAGAAGCAAACAAAATATTTTTTACTCACATTTACGAGATTCTCGCGTCGTATTTCATCAACTTCGTCGCGTTTAGAGATTCTTTTCCTCCAATCATCTTCGCCGCTCTTTTGCAAAGCCGCAAGCCGATCTGCAATCGAGCCTGCCTTGCAGCCAACCGCAATTGTGCGTTGATCGGGTCCCATGACCTGAAGAGTTGAAAATAGGAAACAAGTAATTAAAAAAAAAAAAATTGAGACAAGCTTTTATTAGTGGCTAATAAAAAACCGACCCGGCACCACCTAACGACTAAATGTTTTGTGGTTTTATTTCTTTCCATTTAAGTAACGTATATTACATACTAGATATGACACAAATCGGACCATAAAAACGGGTTTTCCTAATATCCCGACTCCTGCGCATATGGCAGATTAATTCATCTTTCACATTGCACGCTTCCACTCCGCAACGCCTGCGTTCAAATCCTGGTCAAAGCAACATCGAAAAAATTATAGAATAAAAAAAGGTTTCTTCTTAACAGCAGTCGTCCCTCAGCAGGGGGGGCTTATATCTACTACAACAAAAACTCCAAACATCGGAATTCCAAACTTTATGAAAATTTTCATAAAAATTTTGCACTCCTAAATTTCTCCTTTGAAGGATTACCGCAACCTCAAACTCAGGCAGAGAAAACCATACAAATATCCAAAATTCAGGTAAATAGTACTATGCGCCATTCTTCAAGCAACTGGGGCGACAATGATTGACTCGAAAAACATTCAGGAAAGTCTAGGATCTCTAAAATTTTTTCGACAATTGGCACGTGCCTATGAACATTGCTGTTCTGGGAAACGAGGAAGTAGATGAGTGCTGCATACGAAAGAAAATATCTAAAAATTAAGCAGAAGGCTAAAACGCGATGAACATGGCACCGATTCTCCAAAGACTTTGGGACTATACTAGCAAAAGCTAGCTAGCTATACTTTTTGCGCTGCGGAGGAATAACAGTAAAATCTTCACACTAAAAATGTGACCTAAAATGTCACCTTTAAAGTGCACGTCAGTTTACCGCAATTTAATTACTGTTGCCAGATGTATAGGCGTGATAACGAAACCGTTAAAAATATCGAAACAAATTCGTTGACAAATTCGATAAAAATTTCGATAGCAAAATCGATAAAAATATTGGTAGCAAAATCGATTAGAAAATTGAGAAAAATATCGCTAAAATAATTTACAACAAAATCGATAAACAATCGATAACAAAAATCGATTAGAAAATCAATAAAATTATTGATAAAAATATCGATAATAAAATCGATAAATAATCGATAACAAAACTGATAAATAATAGAAGACAAAATTCATAAATAATCGATAACAAAAGCGATAATAAAATAAATAAATAATCGATAACAAAATCGATGAAAATGTCGACAACAAAGCCGGTAAATAATCGATAACAAAAATCGATAAAATTGATAACAAAATAAAAAAAATGTCGACTGCAAAATCGATATAAATATCGATAAATAATCGATAACAGAATTGGTAAATCGATAAAAAAATTGATAACTAATGATAACAAAATCGATAACAAAAGTGATAATAACATAGATAAATAATCGATAATGATATCGATAACAAAGCCGATAACAATATCGATACAAAAAAATAACGATAACAAAATCGGTAAAAGTATCGATTACAAAACCGACATCAACTATATCGATAAGTTCCGAAAATATCAATAGTAAAATCGATAACAATATCTATAAAAATATCGATTATTATATCGATAAGTCCGGAGAATTCCGAGAATCCCAAAATAGTTCACAGATTGAGTCTCTTGAAGGATGCATCCCTGCGCATATTTTATTCCTAAACGCATCCCTGCACATTTACCGATTCAAAGTATCACCTCTTGGATTTTCCATTTCAACTGCTAGTGATACCAATAGACATACTGGAATTGCTTTCTTTCTTCTTTTCAACAATCAACACCTATCAGCAAACATCGGAACACATCGGAGCAGCGAGCTTTCATCATATCAACGTGGGAATTAATATACCGGCATATATGTATGTAGTTCTCATCGATCGTCATCGTGAATATTTCAATTTAATTTAACTATTCAATTCATCATTTAATATCATTTAACCTTTGCTCAAAATTCATATTCATCTAATTTAAAGTTTGTATAACTCACTCGTTCACCAAGTTTAAACATTCATTCCATTTTCATCCAAATCACTCATGCCTTAAATCTCTTAGAACTAATTAAAAAGCTAATTGTAATCTTTTAACTTAAATAAAACTTATCTTATAATTACAAAAGCAACCCTAGCTTTTAACAAATATAAAGACTTCTATGTCATAAAAAGTCCCGGTTCATACTTTTATCAACTTATACACATGTACATATTTATGTATGAATGTAAGGGTTTTCCTCCAAATTTCGTTTTTACATATAATGACTCACCAAAAATTTGATTAAACCTTACTAAATAAATAAGTCACAAACAAGCATTCATACATTTTGTTCACATTCAATATCTTCAAAACTCTTAGGTTGCCGATATGGATCAGTGAATTTACAATTATTTAGTATTTACGTATGCGGATATCTACAGTTATAAATACACATACATATGTACATGCTCGTATCAAACCAATTTTTTATTAAACTAAAATTTAATTGCTGATGACTCAGACTCACCTGCGTTAAACTGCGTCGGAGACCGCCTTGCAAGAATGTCGGTAAAGCTGTGGGATTGCGCGCCTGCGCGGCCTCACCTTCTTTTGTTGTGCCTGAAGCTGCTTGAAGCTGGTGTTCTTCTGGTTGTTGTTGAGAATTTTGTGCGCTTTGTGCGTTGGTAAGTGGTTCTCCTTGTTGCTGCTGCTGCTGCTTTTGTTCTTCTTGTGCGCTGTTGTCTACATGCCGTAATTTGACAAAACCGCCGCTACCAAGTGGTGGCAATTGAGGGCCAATGCCAATGGCTATGCCGCCCGCTGGTGGTGCAATAACAGAATGACTTTTACTTTTCGCAATGAGACTGCTGGTACTGTGTGTTGAGAGAAGAATGGCAAGGAAAATTGTGAATTAGAAATTAATTGCGGAAACTATTAGCGGTGATTTAACAACAAGAAATGGAGGGTATGTATGCATGGATACAAATTTATTATCTAAGTATTTGAAAAGGAAAAAAAAAACAAAAACAAGAAAAGACAAACATATAAAATATGGAGGAATTAGTAAAACTGCAGAAGCGTGTAATCAGCATTCACACAGCACAGGGGGAAGACAAGGCACGCGAATGTGGCAGCTAAGTAAGATGCGTGTCGAAGTCGCTAACACGCAAAGTGGTAACAAAATTTCCGACAACACTTACATATTAAATACATATGTGTTTTTCCTTATTTTCTTTCTCGAAGGTGGTAAACAAATCACCAAAGACTGGTTGGTTTATGCCAAGCGAGTTAAGTCAATGATGCAACATACTACATACATACATACATACATAACTACTGGCGGCAAATTCATTTTTGAAAACACGCCACAGCGCCACGTCGTAGAATGCATCAAACAACTTCCTAGTACGCCCCAAAAAGCCCCAAGGAGCCGCAGCGACTGATAATAGGTTCGTTCGCGTAGCTGTTAATTGTTCATGTTTAACCAAAACTTACAAGTTTTTGCGTTCGCGTACGCAAAAAACTTGCAAAGTAGGGGAAATTGAGAGAGCAAAGTGACATTTCATTTTGAGGGGAAGCTGCTGGTTTCTGCTGGAAAAATTTTTGCCAACAGCAATTTGCCAACAGGAAAACAGCTGATCAAAAACAGCTGGTTGGCATTTACGCAAATCACAAAATTGAATTTGATGGTTTGGAAGTTAAAAATTACAAAATGCGACTAATTAAACTTGTAAGAAGTAAGTAGTTATTTGTTTAATCAATAAACTGTGCCAGGATACCACTTTGTAATGAGTTTTCGTACGTTTTAAATTTTACACTTTTGAATGTAAACAAAAATTATATCAGCTGTTCGTCTAACTTGCAAGTTTCTGCAAATTTTCTGTTCGCGTACTATTTTGGATATTTCTCTCTTGTGAGCGAACAGATGACATTTCGCCGGAATTTGGCAGTTGGTTGGTTTCTGTTGGAGATTTTAAACGAACGCACCTAATGACTAATGAGCACTTGCAGTTGAGAGTCTGTGTTGTTGAGCTGCGCTGCAGTTCTTAACGCAGCCGCGCAGCTTGTTGAATGAAGATAAGCTGCAGAGCTTAGAGATCTAAAAGTTGCTGTTGAAAGTATGACGGGAAACTTCTGTGCTGCCTTGCGCTTCTAAGACTCCAGATGAGTTACTTCTTACCCAGCGGCACAAAGTTCATTGCATTTGTTAGTAGCAGAAAATCAACACAAAACTAATGCGGAAATCGTGACCATGCAATATTCACTGTAAGACAGCAAAATGGGTTTTACGCGCCAAAGGGAAATATGTAGCTTTTCCTTAACTGACACACATAACGAAATGTAACCAAATGCATTTCTTCGTAGAAGTCTCGCAGTTGAAGTACATAAATACCCAGCATAAAAAATAAGAGACCGACTGGCAAAGTGTCGCCAAAGTTATTCCGAAAAGATAGAACTGCAGTATTTCCCATCTAATTAGGCATGAACAAATTTAAAATTTCATTATCCGGGGTTCTCGCTCTATTTAACACTCCGATTTTTAATCGAGTTATTGTTCTTCCATTTCCATTATGACTGAAGGGCACTTTGCAGTTCTAGTCCAATTTTCTTTCCTGCTGGGTTTACACCCCCGAATGGTTTTCTTCTGTGCTCAAATTTAAATCGATCGTGCTTAAAATGGGCACAAATGGCCACATTAAGTGTTTAGCGCGTAAAATTGGAACAGTTGCGCCGTTGAGCTGGGAAAGCTAAGTAATCTATTTAAGTCTGCCAATGGTTCGAGAGAAAGTAATGAACTAAAAAAGCGTTGTAAAAACGCATAATTGATGGAATAATTCTCATGGCTGCTGCATGAAGTAGCATTTAAGTTAGTGGGAGGCAATTTAAATTCTTTTAAGACTGTCCACTCAAGAGCAATAGCGATATGTAAATTAATCAAAGCCCACCTTAAATTATTATTTTTTAATGCCAAAACTTAATTCAGAGTTAAAATGCGTTTTAAATGTCGAGCTACGAAACTCTGAATCGGTATTTGAAACTTTAAGAAAGCAAACAAAATTTCAGTACATAGTAGTAATAATCCTCTTATACGGAATAATTTTCCCATGGATTATCATTCACCGCAACGGAAATATAAATATTTAACTACCACACGTAACAACAACCTTTGGTTCAAGGCTCAGGGGCAAAAAAAGACCAATTCAAGAGAGGATCGCCTAATATAGTGCATTAGCCTACAGGAGGGCTTCAAAATTCCTGAGGCTGGAGAGAACTGATAGTAAGCGGAGTCATTGTCAGAACTGTTGATCGAAAATTATAATTTAAATATTGAAACATCCGAAATAAACTGCTGAGAAATAGGCCCAGTTTCAGTGGCCGGCTAAAAATATGTAGAAAGGGAGCTTTTATTGAATCCATCAAAGGCACGATTTTCTTGAATTCGCGGAGTTCGAATTTTCGGAGATTTTACGAAAATCGGACCTACGCACCAGCGATTCCCTCTTTAAAAAATGTGGGAAAAAATAGGATTATAGGCCGATTTAAATGAAAATTGGTCCTTTAGTGAACTTGAGAACACTGAAATCAAAAATGTGAACTGTTTTTTGATAACTTTCATTTCAAAAAATGTATTTTCAACATTTATTCCGCGAAGGCTTTACGAATGGCAGAAGAATTCATATTATTAAATGTAGTGGCTTGCTAGCGGCATATAATTTATTTTATAGGGAAATTTCGGTCTAATTAAGTTCAACGCACGAATTATCTTCACAAAAACACCAAATACATACACATTGCAGAGAGCGAATTTCCAGATTTTTGTCCACTAAGGCGGCACTGTGCTACGAAGAGATCAGCAATACCCTCAAATATTTTCCGTAGCGAAGGGATGCGGAAGATAATAAGAAAAATTGAGAACGTTTCAGAGAAAAGTGCGAAAATAAACGGTTAAACAGGGAGCCAGTCAAATATTTTTGGGTATGATTTCCTCACTATGGGCTGGTCCGCATAACTCTCATA